AAGGGGTATGATGTCTGCAAGTTACTGTCAAACGGTTCTGGGAGAAATCTGTCTATGTGTGTCTGTGTGTGCATCTATGGAGGATGAATGTAAGAGACTGTGCAAGACTGAGTGAGGGTGATAGAGGATGAGACGGATGACATAAATGTGGCTACACGTTAATACAGGATATAAGGTATGCAAGAAAGAGTTCTTTGTTCTAGTGATTCTTTTGCAAGGTTAAAATCATTTCAGAATTAAAAAGCTTTGGTCTAAACTAAAATGATCCTTTGATAAGACTAAAAAATACAGGACTGAGTGAGTATACAGGTATGGTTGCAAGGAGGGGATATCACTTGACATTTTCTTTTTTTTTTTTTTTTTTTTTTTTTTTTTTTGGAGACGGAGTTTCGCTCTTGTTACCCAGGCTGGAGTGCAATGGCGCGATCTCGGCTCACCGCAACCTCCGCCTCCCGGGTTCAGGCAATTCTCCTGCCCCAGCCTCCTGAGTTGCTGGGATTACAGGCATGCGCCACCATGCCCAGCTAATTTTTTTTTTGTATTTTTAGTAGAGACGGGGTTTCACCATGTTGACCAGGATGGTCTCGATCTCTTGACCTCGTGATCCACCCGCCTCGGCCTCCCACAGTGCTGGGATTACAGGCTTGAGCCACCGCACCCGGCCTCACTTGACATTTTCAATTACTCTCTTCAAGAAAAATTTCAGATAAGAATGTAAAAGCCTACTGGAGAATGATGTGGTGGCAAAAACAGCAGTTAAATTGCCCTTGAGGGAGCCTGCTCTGCTGTAGATGCTTATCTGTGGGAGGGGATAACCAAGCCACATATGGGAAGGGCAACCAGGATCCATTAAATGTCCTCAGCCACCAAAGGAATACCAAAGCTCCCTGGGAGGGAGCTTTCCATGGGCCTGTGATTTGGAGTAAAGTGGGAGGTACCACTTTGGGCCATCCAGACACCTTTATCCTAATTTTTTCCCTCATATGGAAGATGTTTTGTTTTCTATACATACATGATAAAGTAAAATCAAACTAGGTCCCTGATACAAAACTGATCTCAGCTATGATCTACCTCTGGAAGTAATTATCTTTGGCACGCTGAGTTTTCCAAAGATGGCCACAGTAATATTTCCCATCCCATATGGATCTTATCTTTTGAGTTTCTCTCTCCATCCCACTGAATCTAGGTTGGCCCGACTGCTTTGATCTTTAAAATATGGCAGACAAGTAAGGCTGTGCCAACTCAGGGCATAGACCTTCACTGGCCTGACAGCTTTTGCTTCCTGCCCCAAAAGATGCTCGATCATGGGGCCATTTCTTGTTGGAACTCAGCCACTGTCAGAAGCCTAAGCCATACAGAGAAGCCACAGTAGGCACTCTGGTTTAACAGCTTCAGCTGAGCTCCCAGCCAACAGCTATCATCAACTGCCAGGTGGGAAAATGGCCCATCTTGAACCTCCAGCTCAGCTGAGCTCTAGGTAACTGCAGCTCCAGTCAACACTGGACTGCAATGGCATGGAAGACCTTGTGTAACCCAAGTCAACCCATAGAGCAACTGCACAAAAGATCCCAAGAGAGAACCTCCCAGTAAGCCCAAGTCACACAACTGTGAAAATGAATAATAAATTATTGTTTAAGCAACTCAATTTTGGGGGCTTTGTTACAGTAGCAATAGATAACTGAAATATTACCTATCATAATGACCAAACTGATTTACAATATATTTCTAAGAATATAAACCCATTAGAGAATATTTCATGCTGAAAACCTAGAAGTACAGGTAGCATCAACACTCAGAGGCAGAGACAGGCTGGACAAATCCACTTGGCCACATTGGATTTCTTTTCTCTAGGTTATAGGAACAAAGTTATGCTCCATCCATGTCTTTCAGGGTGTTGCAGAATCTAGTTTTCTAAAACCCATGCAAGTACTCAACGATGAAAACAATAAAAATAAACTTGACTGCTTAAAAGAACAATGCTATTAACATGCACAGTCACCCAACAGTGGCTTAAATCTGAGATCAGGCAGGAGAACAATGCACTATTAGAGCTTAGGAGGTCACAGGAAAAGGGACCATTAATAACATGACCTGCCTGGGATTCTGGATGGGGGAGTTCAAAGGGTCTAATTAAGCCCCCTTTCAAAGCCACATCATTTCCAGTGTGTTTTTAAAATCACACACTTGGTCTGCACAGAAGGAATGTCAAAAATATCAGTTTTGGTGGGGGTTTGTTTCGTGTGTGGCACCATTCTAAAAAGTAAGTCTTTCTCTTTTACTATCTTTTTTCAACAATGAGTGTGCAAGAGAATATTTATGCAACATGTAAGGTATAAAGAATGATATAAATGGTCAGGTGCAGTGGCTCACAGCTGTAATCACAGCACTTTGAGAGGCCAAGGCGGATGCATCACTTGAGGTCAGGAGTTCAAAACCAGCCTGGCCAATATGGTGAAGCCCCATCTCTACTAATATATAACAATTAGCCAGATGTGGTGGTATGTGCCTGTAATCCCAGCTACTTGGGAGGCTGAGGCAGGAAAATTGCTTGAACCTGTGGGGCAAAGGTTGCAGTGAGCCAAGACTGTGCCACTGCATTCCAGCCTGGGTGACAGAGTGAGACCCTGTCTCCAAAAAAAAAGAATGATATAACTAGCCAGGCACAGTGGCTCGCACCTGTAATCCCAGCACTGCTGGCTTCCCTACTTTTGAGGTTTAGGAACTCAGACTGGCTTCCTTGGTCCTCAGCTTGCAGATGGTCTATTGTGGGACTTCACCTTGTGATCGTGTAGTTAACATTCCTTAATAAACTCCCCTTCATATATACATCTATCTTATTAGTTTTGTCCCTCTGGAGAATCCTGACTAATACAGGCTGTTTCCCTTTCTTATCGTTTGTGTATTCACTGGAGTAGCACTTTTAATTTCCTTCAATAAATTTTCCTTTGCATTCATGACTTGGCTAACTGGTCCCAGAGGCCTAGCCTTCAGCCCATGTCAGCTTTTGATGTTGACTTCCTCACTAAGCTCAATCATTTCTAGCTTTTGATTTAAAGTGAGAGATGTGTGGCTCTTCCTTTCACCTGAACTCTAAGAGGCCTTTGTTGGGTTAATTGGCCTCATTTCAATATTACTCTGTCTCACGGAATAGAGAGATCGGAGGACAGGGAGACGAGGGAATGACCTGTCAGTGGAGCTGCCAGAACACACACATTAAGTTTGCCATCTTATATGGATACAATTCATGGCACTCCAAAACAATTATAACAGTAACATCAAAGATCATTGATCACAGATCACCATAATGGATATAATAATAATGTTTGGATATTTTGAGAATTACCAAAATGTGACACAGAGACAAGAAGTGAGCACACACTATTGGAAAAATGGCACTGATAGACATGCTCAATGCAGGGTTGCCACAAACCTTCAATTTGTTAAAAAAGAAACAAATAACCAGTATGTGCAAAGCACAAAATACAACAAAACTAGGTATACCCATAATTCTCATTTCTATAGAAGATACTACCATTTACAATAATAAAGATGAAACTTGCAAGCTAGTACTACAGGGACCATAAGTCCAAATTCCAGCAAGAGAGAGAGGGTGGAACCTGTAAAAGTCTCAGCATAAACTAGGCTTTTCTTTCTATTAATGTAAATGTCCCAAATTAACACTAGAGTAATGATGCATGGTGGAAGCTGAAAAAGGCTCAGAAATAAGACAGAGGGAAAGGGATCATGGAGCCCACGTAATACATTTAAAGAGGAGGTAAGATAACAATACCATCACCAAAGATGGGCAATATTCGCACAGAAAGGTTGCAATGAACTAAAAACAAAGAAAGAAAAGCAGGCTTTTAATTCAGTAATGTGCTATGGATTTTCCTTACGGAGGACAAACACATCAATAGCAGGTATTAGTAGTGTATCAAAACCATAGTGATCTCCAAAAAAATATTAATAGTAGTGAAAAAGTTTGTTAGAAAGCAACACATTGGGAATTTAAGAGCTGATGTCATCTTGAAATATTTTTGACAAATTTGCAAGTGTTCATTAAATTTGTATTTTATCTGACATTCTCTGAACTAAACTGATCACTGAATAAGGTTTATATGATTCTCTCTATATAAAAACTTTCCTATTTTCCCAAATTAAATCCTATTTCTCTTTCTTTCTCTGTCCTACTAAAGATGGTTTCCACTGTCCTACTGGACTGAGTTATTTACTGAGTCACTCTTGTCAGTTACTGTCAGTAAAATATTTTAATGACTTAAGACCTTGGTGGTCACACGGTTATTGTACATTTTTCAGTTACATGGTTTCAATGGTGAGTTTACCTAGTTCCTAACAAAAATTAGCTGCGCATGGTGGTGCATAGTACATGGGCATGGAGTTACTTGGGAGACTGAGGCGGGGGGATCACCTGAGCCTAGGAGTTGGAGGCTATAGTGTGCTGTGATTATGCCTGTGAACAGTCACTGCACTCCAGGCCTGGGAAACACAACAATACCCCATCTCTTAAACACACACACACACACACACACACTTGCTTCATTAAAACACTGCTGATCATGGCTGACAAGTTATTATTGTATCTCCATTAAAGAGAGAGACAACAAGGTGGGGGAGAAGGGTGACTATGTGAGGAGGAACCCAAGCCCAATGCAATCACTTAAAGCTAAATGCAACTGGAGGAAAAAGAAGAATACCAGAAAAGCAAAACGGGATTCATGGACCTAAAGAGAAAATGCTGAATGCATCATCTTGGTAAATAAAAGTCCCAGACGCACTGGGGTCCCTTAGCAAAGGATCTTTCACCCAGAAGATACACAGAGAGTCAAGCCAGGTAACTCCAAGTCCAGCATTTCTCTCACTGAGCTCTTCTGGCTGGCCATGCCTTATGGGGAGCAGGAGCTGCAACACGGGATGGCACAAAGCCCTAGCAAACTGACTCACAACAGTCAGACTGTCCGGCAAAGGAGAGAGATGCTTACTTGGATATCACAGGAGAAGACGGTCTCTTAGGAATGCTTCCAGAAAGCTCGCATCTTCTCAGAGGGGACCCGAAATTCACAGTGGGAAGAGAAGTTGCTGTTCGTTGCCCCCGCTTTACCTTCTCCACCTGTAGGGGACATAGGATAGCCACAGTCCATGACTGGCAATACTTTCACAATTTATAAGAATAACTCCCCAGATGGAACAATGCACGGCTTTCAGAGGGATCGATATGAAGCTATAATGCATCACATAACAGGCATCTTTGCAGGGAGACATGATGAGGTCATCACATTCACATTATCCAGTTAAAAAAAAAAACAGCCTCAAAATACAAAGATTTCCTTCTCCTAGTTATCTTTCAAAGAGTTAAGAACAGAACCATATTATAGTCCTGGACATATAGGAACTGAAAAGAGTGCAAAGATGTAAAATCACTACAAAAATTATAGGTGGGTAAAAATGTGGTTATAACTTCCAAGACAGTGAGCTGTGGCCCCTGATGGTATACATGGCATAATGGGGTTTGCAACCCTACCCAGTCCTGTAGGTCTTCCCATTACCTCCCTTGGCAGAAAGGAACAGACATCAGTGCCTAGCCTGCAGAAAGTGCTCCACAAGGGTTAGCTCCCTTTCCTCCCTAACACACTTTTCTTCAGCAAGTCCTCATTTGGCCCCCACACTCACATCCATCAGTCCCTTTCAACACTAATCCACTGTATAGTAAAATCCAAGAGTCTAAAACAGGTACTTCTAAGACTCACGACAGATTTGAAAATAAAATGGTATTATAAAATGCAGTAGTTTTAAAATAAGTCCAGACATTATTTGGTATTCCTCCCTTCAACAGGTGAGACTTAATTCCTCTTCCCTTGAGCGTGGGCTGATCTTAGTGACTTACTTAAAGGACACTGCAGCTTCCCCCTTGCAATCTCTCTGATAGCTTGCTTGGAGGGAAGCCAGCTGTGGCATCATTTGGACACTCAAGCCGCTTTATGAACAGGCCCATGCAGTGCGGAACTAAGGCCTCCTGCCAACAGCCGTGAATGAGCCGTCTCCGAAGAGGCACAGCCATGCTTTCAGATGATGCAGCCCTGGCCAACATCTTGACCACACCTCATGAAAGACCTTGCACCAGAACCAGTAAGTCGCTCTGAATTTCTGATCCAAAGAACCCATGAGTTAATACATATTTGTTGTTTTAAGCTGCCAAGGTTTGAGGTGATTTGTTAAGTAGCAATGGGTAACTAACAAAAGTAGTGTGGCATGTATAATTTCTGAATAAATAGACACAATTGTGTATAAATAAACAGATACAACTGTTCAACATTTAATTTACTGAAAGTGCCAGTATGCCACCAAAAATGTTTAAGCTGGGCATAATAACACATGCCTGTAGTCCCAGCTACTCAAGAGGCTGAGGCAGGAGGATTACTTGAGCCCAGAAATTCAAGGTCATCCTGGGCAACATAGAAAGACCTCATCTCAAAAGAATGTTTAATGATTACTTTTGTAGGTAAAAGTTGACATAGATCCTCTGTTCTAGTTAGGTGCACAGGCAGAACTGACCCAGAATCTGATATCCGTAAAGAGGAAGACCAGGATATTTAGAACATTCCTTCTGACTCCTGTCCTCTGGAGGGCAGGCTGTGACAAGGACAGCATTAAGAATTCGCTCCAAGGTACTAAGACTTAAGAGGGTCCAAAAAGTTAAAGGATTTTCAAAGGTTGGGTAAAATTTTGAACTAAATCTATCCTTTCCTGCTTTGAGCAGTCCTGGGAGACTAATGGAAACAGAGAGCCCAGGTCAAGCACAGAAGTAATCACACCATCAGACAGAACACAGTCTGCAAAGGTGAGTGGGTGGGTGGCTTCAAACTTACCAGAGAGGCCTCTCCTCCCACAAGGGCTTCTTTCCCAACATCTCCTGTGTCAGATGTAGATGCAGATGTAGATGCAGCTTTCTTCTTCTCAATGTTTCGAGTCGGTGAAGACTTGTAAGAAGGGTTAAGAGGGCCAAGAAGAGCTAAACGAGGACAGACAGGAAATACTAGAAAGTTACAGTATAACAGCCAGAAAGACAGAGTACAGATGGGAAAAGTAGAGCAGAGAGTTGGGAAGAACACATTTCTATTAAAATATGACCTGGGCAATCAACACCACATTTTTCTGTTGTACACAGGATGGATCCCATACTCAAGTGTCCCATACTCAAGTGTCAAGTTTATTCAAGTTAATTTCAGGGGTTAAAAGTCTGTACTTTGGAGCCACAGAGACCTAGCACTGCCACCTAACAGCTGGATCTCCTTGGGCAGGTTATTTAACCTCTCCGAACATCAATTTCCTTGTGCAGAAAAGGGTTAACATAGCAGATCTGACTACTGTTCTTGGAAAGACCTGATTACATGGGTGACCCTTGGCTGGCATTAAGGAACTTAGATTTCAGGAGGGTTCCCACCATTAACTGATGGGTGTCTAAACTGTATATAAACAGTATGGTTTATACTAAGCACTTCTTTTCTTGCGGGAGTCTGGAATCTGGGTATGTGCCTGGGAGGGGATGACTATATAACCAGCTCCCAGTAAAAACCCTGGGCACTGAGTTTCTAGCTAGCTTCCCAGCCTGGCAACATTTCATACATGTTGTCACGATGTGTTGGTGGAGGAATTAAGCTCGTCCCGTGTGACTCCACTGGGAGAAGAGTCTTGCAAATCCGCACCTGGTTATCTCTGGACTTAATCCCATATACCTCTTCCATTTCCTAGTTTTTTTCATGTTTCCTCCTGCTATAATAAATCACAGCCATGCGCCAGGCATGGTGGCTCACCTGAGCTTAGGAGGTTGAGGCCAGCCTGGGCAACATGGCAAAACATCAGCTCTACAAAAAATACAAAAATTAGCTGGGCATAGGGGCACACACACTCCTGCAGTCCCGGCTACTCTGCAGGCTGAGGTGGGAGGATCGCTTGAGCCTGGAAGGTCGAGGCTGCAGTGAGTCAAGATCATGCCACTACACTCCAACCTAGGTGACAGAGCAAGATCCCATCTCAAAAAAAAAAGCTAAGAAAGAAAAAATAAGTCACAGCCACGAGTGCAACTATGCGGATTCTTCCAAGTTCTCCAGTCAATGATCACACCTGGGGAGGTCTTGGGGAACCCTGGTACAATGAATGTCAGAAATGGGAATCGCTGGAATGACCCTGATTTGCTGAAATATGGTAAAATCACATTTTGGGAAAAGGACAAAAGGGTGGAGAACAAACTTGTGGTCCCTGGGTGGCTATGAAATTATCCATAATATAAAACAGCAGCTGAGCTGTTGTGAGAGGTAAAAGTGACCTACGGAATTTAAAGATGACTGATGCAGTTCCAAGACAGTTGGCTCAATGGATCCCCCTGGCTGCTTTTGGCTGTGGTAGCTAAAGTGAGGGAAAAAGTGCAGCCCAGGTGATGCCTTTGGTTTTAGTTTTTTCTTCCAAGTGACAATGGGATATAACTTCCTCACTGTTTGCCAGCAGTGGGTGGGTTGGAATTTAAACTCCAAATATTACAACCAGGACAAGTCTCTATAATAGGTTTTTCTGCTATGGCTTTTGTCTAATGGAGCCTCTGGAAAAAGGGAGATGTGAAAAGATAGGCAATTTCCAGAAAAATACATGCTTTTGCAGTTCTAAAAATCGACTAGGAACCACTGCAAATATAGAATGTCCTCCATGGGACCCAAAACTATAAAAAGATCCTGGATGCTGCTAGACTGTCTGGGTCACATACAAGTGCTCACAAGACAGGGCTTGTTCTCTGATGGGACCATCAACGATCAAGCTGCTCACTGGCTCTATATTTCTGATGCAGAGTCTGATTATATCCCAAAAATGATTCCTACAAAGGCTTCAAGTCACATCACAGGAGATGTCACTCTTTTAGCCATCCCTGACAGACTGAACTCCATCCCCTCTGGGGAATGTGTCACTACTGTTAATGTTTTGTGCTTAATTTTCTAGAGTAGCTGCAGTTTGTAATAGACTGAGATCCTGACTATATTTCTTCTGCCTTTCTCTCACTACACGTCAGTAAAGCAATTTATTAAATGCAGCTGTCACTGGAAAGGGATTGATATTTTCTAGGCTGCTCACTGGATAAACGATAAAGATGAAAGGGCTCAGAGGTGATACAAACCTACTTTAAAATGTTTTGAAAATTTAGGATTTTAACCTAATACTTACACAATATATCTCTCTGGTTAAGTTGGATAAAAATGGGTTTTAAAAAAATGCTTTTGTCCTTTCTTTGAAAGGTCTGGGTGAGACTGGGGGATGATTAAGAAAATGTAGTTTTGATTATTGAATAGGACATGGAGACAAACAACAAAATCCAACACCTGGGGTGATATAGGGATAGGGAAGGACAGTTGTGTTCTGTTTTCCATAACTGCTCCTGGAAGCTCTCTCCTTCTTCCGTGCTGAAAGCACCTTGGACTCAGACCCATGGCTGAGCCTAGATGGCACATGACAGCATGACTATGAGCCTGTAGGGGTGGGGCCAGCTCCTGCATGTCTCCACAGGACACCTCCAGATTCCATCTGCACTTGCCAGGAAGATGAAGTAGGGTCACTGACAGAACTGTTTGGGACTGATGGCCTCAGGCAGCCCCCATAAAACCTGGGACTGAGCTGAATTACCTGCACTGGACTGAGCACCCTGAGGCACGAGGCACCACAGCAGGAGCCACGCTGCAGACTGCCTGACCAATGATACCCTGCTGGCGTACCCTGACATCTTCAACTCTGTTTCCAGGGAACCACATAAGCCCATGGGGATCATACTTCCTGTGTGCATGCCATGATTATCACGACACTGCCTCAGCCGGGGAAGGCATTCAGGTCAGTTTCAACTTACTGGCCAGAGCTGTTCTGGGCTGGAGTTGATGCCACGGGCCAGGTAAAAAGATTCATACAGCAACTGATGGAGGAGGCCATCTGGCTGCCTCAAACAGACATTTCTGAGGCCAGTGCAGTGGCTTATACCTGAAATCCCAGCACCTTGGGAGGCTGAGATGGGAGGATTGCTTGAGTCCCAGAGTTTGAGACCAACCTGGGCAACACAGGGAGACCCCATCTCTAAAAAAAAAATATAGCTAGGTTTGTAGCGCACACCTGTAGTCGCAGATACTCGGGAGGCTTAGGTGGGATGATCACGTAAGCCCAGGAGGTTAAGGATGCAGTGAGCCATGATCATGCCACTGCACTCCAGCGTGGGTAAGAGCAACAGAGCAAGACCTTGTCTTCACAAAAAGAAAAAGAAAAGAAAGAGAAAAAAGAAAAAGATGGACCTTCTGGTTAATTAGATTTGCTTTAACTGCTAAGTCCAGAACTCCTAAAGGACATAACTGAGATCAATACTGCACGATGGTCTCACCCCTTGCTGTGTATGGCCCTACTGAAAAATTTCCCGTAAAGACACCTTGGCCGAGTGTCAAGTGGATGAGCTGCGCAAAAACAGTTAACATAGCAGGCCTGACTGCTGTCCCTAGAAAGGCCTGCTTACAAGGTTAGCCCTTGGCCGCCACCTAGAAACTTAGATCTTGGGAAGGTCCTCCCTTTAACTGATGAGTGGCTCACTGGGCATAAACAAACAACATGGTGTATATTGAACACCTGCTTTCCTTCCGGGAACCTGGAATTTGGGTATGTGCTGGGCAAGGGGTGCACGTGACCAGCCCCCTGTAAAAACCATGGGCGCTGAGTCTCTAAAAAGCTTCCCTGGTTGGCAACATTTCATATTTCATACATGTTGTCACAACTCATTGCTGGGGTGAACGGTGTCCTGAGTGACTCCACTGGAGAGGACTCTGGAAGCTTGTACTTGGTCTTCCCTGGACTTTGTCCCATGTGCCTTTCCCCTTTGCTGACTTTGCTTACATTCTTTCATTGGGGATCCTGTGAGTCTTCCTAGCAAATAAGTGATCCTGGAGTTGCTCTTAGGGACCCCCAACATTTTCATTATCCTCAAAATGGGGTACTTCCTACTTGCTAGGTGTTTTTGAGATATAACTCACATACCATAAAATTCACCCTTTAAAAAGTATACAGGACAGGCATGGAGCCTCACACCTGCAATCCTAGCACTTTGGGAGGCTGAGGCAGATGGTTCGTGCTTGAGCCCAAGAGTTGGAGACCGGCCTGAGCAACAGACAAAGTGAGACCCTGTCCCTACAAAGAATCCAAAAAATTAGCCAGGCATGGTGACATGTACCTGTAGTCCCAGCTATTTGGGAAGCTGAGGTAAAGGGCAGGCTTGGAGTTCGAGGCTTTAGTGAGTTATAATCACATCACTGCATTACACCCAGGGCAAAAGAGCAAGACCTTGTCTTTATTTTATATTTATATATAAATATATATATATATATATATATAATATATATAAATACACAAATATATTTATGTTTATATACAAATATATATAAATATATATTTATTATACATATATATCTAATAAATATATACACATACATACACACGCACAATTTGAGGTTTCTAGTACATTCACAAGGTTGTGGAACCATAACCACAGTCTACTTCTACAACATTTTCAAGATTCCTCAAAGAAACTTGTCCATTAAGCAGTCACTCCCCTTCCCTCCTTCCTCCAGTCTCTGATAACCACCATCTACTGTCCATAGAGATGGATTTTCCTATTTCAGACATTTCACATAAATAGAAGCATACAATTTGTGGTCTTCTGTGACTGGCTTATTTCACTTGGCATCATATTTTCAAGGTACATCCATCTTGTGGCATGTATCTGTATTTTTTTATTTTATTTTTTTTTTGAGATGGGAGTCTCACTCTGTCGCCTAGGCTGGAGTGCAGTGGTGCGATCTCAGCTCACTACAGCCTCCACCTCCTGGACTCAAGCAATTCTCCTGTTTCAGCCTCCTCAGTAGCTGCGATTACAGCTATGTGCCATCACATCCAGCTAATTTTTGTATTTTTAGTAGAGACAGAGTTTCACCATGTTGACCACGCCGGTCTCAAACTCCTGACCTTGGGTGAACCACCCACCTCGGCTTCCCAAAGTGCTGGCATTATAGGCATGAGGTGCCGTCACTGGCCTGTATTGCTTTTTTACAGCTGAATAATATTCTACTTTATGGGTATATCACATTTTGTTTATCTATTCATCCACTGAAGGACATTTGAGTTGTTTCCACTTTGTGGCTATTGTGAATAAGTTTTTGTGCGAATATATGTTTTTATTTTCCTTGGCTGTATACCTAGGAGTGGAATTGCTGAGTCATATGGGAACTCTATGCTTAAGTTTTTAAGGAACTGTCAGGCCGTGTTCCACAGAAGCTGCATCATTTTACATTCCCACCAGCAGTGTGTGAGGGAAGAGTGTCTCCACCTCCTCCCCTTTAAAAAAAAATTCTAGTCATCCTAGTGGGTGTGAAGTGGCATCTCACTCTGGTTTTGATTTTCATTTCCCTAATGATTAATGATGTTGAGCATCTTATGTACTTATTAGCTGTCTGTATAACTTATTTGCCTAAACAGTATAACTCTTTGGAAGCAACTACAACTAGGCAGAAATTTTATGTCATTTATGTATCATCACACTGAGTACACTATCTTGGGAATAGAGAGCAGATCTGACCTTAGGTGGACACAGTACTGCTCATTTGCAAACAAAGAGAATGCCAGCCCCCATGAATCATGACATGATGACTTGATCTGCTTTGATAAAGGCAGGGCTTTGATGGTCTGGCCCAGTGTTTCTCACACTTCAATGTGCAGGGTGGCTGGGGCCTTCCAACCAAGCTCCTAGATGCCGCTGCCATTGCTGGTCCATGGATCATCTTTTGAGTAGTGAGGCTCTAGACTTCTGTTGAGCTTTTATTCCATGCTAATCATTGTGTTATCTCATTTGTGTGCACTATCTCATTTAGTCCTCACAACAATTTAAAATAGCTCCATCTTATAGATGAGAAAACTGAGGTTTAGAGAAGTTAATTAACTTACCCAAATGGTGAGGGCTAGTGAATGGCAGAACTAGCTATGGGACTCCCCAGACTGGTCTACAGGCTATTTTGCCACAACATCTCTTAAGAAAAGTCTACTAACCTCCAGCATTCATCAAGTGGAGTTTTCTTCCCCTAAAATACATGCTCTCACTCATAAAATAATTTACTCACCTCCGTGACACTTAAAAGAAACATAAAACAGCAAAACAATTGCAGAAGATGTTATTAACCAATGAAGACGTTTCACAAAGCCAGCAAATAGGAAGCAAAATCCAAAAATTCAGGAGTAAATCCTAGGCTGACCAACACCTCTTTGGGCATTTTCCTTGGTGTTACCAGCTTAGCCTCTTTTACCTGAGTCACTGGCCTGCCCAGAGAGCCTGAATGAAGTTCTGCTTCTCGCTAAAGAAGACTGTGTAGGTGTCAACAGTCGCGAAAGAATGGCTTCCATTTCACTAAAGTACATGTGATGAGCTGAGGGATGGAATCAAATGAAAATTTTAAAAAGCAAAACTAAAACAAAACAAAATAAAACATTTAAACAACACAATGCATGGTGTAAATTAATTTTTGGGTGGCAGAACAAACGTGGAAAATAAAAATATTTGAACAAAGGATGGATTTGGAGTTCACTATAGTAAAATGAAACAAATAATGTGTCCTTTAGAGTTTGGGAGACTGCATTAATTGTCATGAGGTACCAGAATCCATTCAATATGCTACTGCGGTACAGTGACCTGTATCACTCAGAGAATTAACCCACCTCCCAGATGTAATATGGACTCAAGAAATCATTTACGGCCATGCATGGTGGCTCATGCTTGTAATCCCAGCACTTTGGGGGGCCAAGGCAGTCAGGTCATTTGAACTCAAGAGTTTGAGACCAGCCCAGGCAGCATGGCAAAACCTCATCTTTACAAAAAATAGAAAAAAATTAGCTGGGCGTGGTGGCGTGTGCCTGTAGTTCTAGCTACTCAAGGCTGAGGTGAGAGAAGGGACTGAGCCTGGGAGGCAGAG